CCCGATGTGTTTCAATCGCTTGTGATGAGGACGCGGTACGATCCTCTGCTTTGTTTAGTCAGGCTCAACCGAAGGTGTATGTGTACGGCTGGTACCTTGCTTTATTTGGCTTCGGCTCCTTCGCCAGAAGCCTGCTAGGGTATACCGAGCCCGAGGGAGCTCCTAGTTGGTCGTCTTCGACCCTAATTTTAGATTGATATCGGTTGTGGACGTCCGACCAGGTCACGGCGAGATATTCAACCAGATTTTGTTTCAACTGCTTCGAAGCCATCGAGTTTTGTTCATTCAGACCTTGAGTGAAGGCCTACACTTCCCAGTCGACGGAGATCGGTGGTAGTTCCATTCGTTCCATTTGGAAGCGGGATACGAACTCTCGCAGCATTTCACTCTCCCTCTGCTTGATCTTGAAGACGTAGGACTTCCTTGTTGCTACTTTGATGGCACCGGCATGTGCCTTAATGAAAGAATCTGCCAGCATGGAAAATGAATCTATTGAGTTTGGGGCCAGGTTGTGATACCACATCATTGCCCCTTTAGAAAGTGTTTCTCCGAACTTCTTCAGCAAGACGGACTCAATCTCATCGTCTTTCAGTTCATTGCCCTTCACCGCACTGGTGTATGCGGTAATGTGTTCGCTGGGGTCCGAGGTCCCATTATACTTCGGAAGGTCCGGTATTCTGAATTTCTTTGGAATGGACTTTGGGGCCGCTTCCTGTGGGAACGGCTTCTGTACGAAATTCTTTGAGTCCACACCTTTCAAGATTGGGGGCGCTCCTGGAATTTGGGCGACCCTGGAGTTATAAGTCTCGACCTTCTTATCGTTGGCTTCTATCATTTTCTCGCTCGATTCGATCCTTCTGGTGAGGTCCTCGAGCATCTTTACGATGACGGGATTGAACATCGACCCGTTATTGCTCGATCTCTCCGGTACCTGTTCGACCGGGGGAGCCATCCCCGGTGCTACTGTGCTAGGAGTTTTCTGGTGGCTTTGCAGCTGAGCAATAGCCAGCTGTTGTGCCTGCAACATTTCAAAAATAACATGAAGGCTAAACTCCCGTTCTTCCCGGGCTGGGGTTTTCTGGGCTTCTTGTTGGTCACCTTGGTGTATGCTCCTGTTAGTATGGGAGCTTATTTCGACGTGTTGAGCGTCGCGCGAGACTCCGTCCACCGGAATTGGTCCTGGTGCATTCTCAAGGTTTCGTGGTGGCTCACCAACACCTGGAACAGCCACACCATTCTCTCTGTGGTTCTCAAGGTAATTGTTTACTGAATCAAACATTCCGACCTGAATTCAAAGATCTTTGGACAAGAAAAAGCGTCAAAGATAACTTGCGTTGTGTAATAAAACCAGCAAGAAAATAATTACTATTATTTTTAGCCCCACGGTGGGCGCCAAACTGTTTACCGTGAAAATGGTAATAACAATTAAATTTGATTATAGACTCTAAAAATACGTGATCTATTTTTATGCCGGTTGTAGAGCAGTTGATGTTATGTGTGAGACTTAGAAATGAAATAAGAGTTAGGAATAGGGTGATAACCAAACCGATAGCTTGGCAATCGGGGCCTCGAGCTTGTCGATTCCCGGGCCCGATTGGGAGCTATCGAAGGTGCTGGAAGTATGACTAACAGTTATGATAAAATCAAAGAAGGCTCTTTATGACCAATGATAAGCAATAAATGATGAACAATAATGAAGATAATAAATGGAAGCAATAATATCAAGAGAATGTGTTAGAGAGCAGAGAGAATGTTCTAGTGTATTTTTTATGGAATCATGGATGGTTACAAAATGGCAAAGATCCCCTTTATATAGGAGGGGAAATCCCAGCATAGTATAAATAGCATTAATTACAAAGATATGGAGATGGGACAGCTGGTTGACGCCCTGATTCGGGTTTGGGCTAGCCTGACAGACTTTGTCGGCTCTAGCTGCACGCCTTGGGAACTCCCCATCTCTACCTTAACCGAGGTCAACATTGTCCCAAGGTCGAGCGTCGACGAACCTCGAGGGAGGGAACTTAACCGTAGCCTTGTAGCCTCGAGCCTTTGAGATGATCTTCTGAGGTGCCTCGATGACGAGGAATCGGACCCTCCGAATTCACCGTATACACATATCACGCTCAATTTTACAAACTTCCAGCTTCAAGGCCTAATCTTTCTTTTCTCTTTGGATCTTTCTGAGTTCATTTAGAACTCTTTCAATATCTGCAAGAGCAATATCAACAAATTCTTGAAGTTCATAACAGTTGGGACAAGCAGGAAGACGTACCTCACTGGTTCCATCGTCTGCCATAAGGCCAAGATCACATGAGTCTTCTTCCTCATCTGCTCCTTCGTCTGCATTGAGTCCAAGCTCTCCTGAGTCCTTATTGCTATCATATTTTATGGCCATGAAACACATGTTTGCAATTTCTTCATGGTCAGATTCTTCTTCATCACTCCAGGCTCCAAAGGACTTCTTCTTTTGAAGGTTCCTGCTGAGCTTCTTCTTCAGTTCGGAACAATCAGCTTGAATGTGTCCATGTTTTCCACATTCATAGCATCTTCCATCATTTTCATTATTTGTCCTTCCTTTTCTGAAGTTTGACTTACCTCTTCTGCTATTTCTGTTGTTCCTCATAATGCCTGTTACAACTTGAGAGAGCATGGCTATGTTTTCATCCTGTTCTCCTCCTTCCTCTTCTTCTTCATTTTCTGGTTCAGCCACAGTTGCTTTGAAAGCAACTTTTTTTTTCTTTTCTTGTTGAATTTGTCTATCCAAGTGAGTTTTCTCAAAGGCTATTAGATCACCTCTAAGTTCATCATATGATATTTTGTCAAGGTCCTGACACTCCAGAGCAATGATCTTGGGCTGCCAAATTGTGGGTAGACTTCTAAGAATTTTTCTGACCTATTCTCCGCTCTTTATTATTCTACCAAAGGATTTTAGATCTCCAAGAATTTTGCTGAACCTGGAGAACGTTTCTTCTACTGATTCTCCATCCTTCATTTGGAATAGCTCATATTCACGAACCAAAAGATTTATCCTTGTTTCTTTTACCTTGTTGGTTCCCTCATATGTGACCTCCAATTTGTCCCACATTTTCTTAGCACTTTCACAGCTTGAGATCTTTTCATATTCTTCACCATTGATAGCATTGTAAGATAGATTTTTTGCTTTAGCATTCACAGTTATGACGGCAGCTTGCTCATCAGTGTAATCATCCAAATCAAGTAGATCAGTTGATAATATGACTTGACCATTATCATCTTTCTTTGGCGGAATTAGAAGATTTCCCTTTTTAATCGCCCACCAGAATTTGATGTCATATGACATGGTGTATGCTTCCATACGCACTTTCCAATGAGAAAAGTGTTGTCCGTTGAAATATGATGGTAGTACTTGAGAGGTTCCTTATTTTTTTTCTCACTAACTGTTAAGCAAAGTTTGTGAGCCTGGCTCTCATACCAATTGAAAGCACAAGATGGGGGGGGGGGGTGAATTGTGGTTTATTAAAAATTGGTTGACTAATTGTAAGTTTAGTCGACTAGGTTTCACGCAGCAAATAGGTAAAGTAGAGATGAACCAAACGGATTGAAAGCTAAACAAGACACAACAGTTTTTATACTGGTTGGGTACCGGTGTGGTACTTACGTCCAGTTTCCCTTGGGTCACAAGGGTTCTCTTAGATCTTGATAAAGGATTACAACAGAGATGGTTTTAGTTCGTTCACCACCAACGATGATTTACAGTAATTTCTGGATTTGACACAACTCTCTTTTGTGTTCTAACTCTTTCTATCTTTTGTGACACTTGTAAACTCAAGAATACAGTGTTTATGCTAAGAACTAGAGAGACTTAGAAGACAGTGTTTGTAGTTGTGTAAATCTTCTTCTTGAGATTGGCAATCTTCTTAAAGGAGAGTTTTAGAGCTGTTGCAAATTGATCTTGATTGAGGCACTGAATCTTCTAAGAGATTTAACCCAAGGGGTGCCTCCAAATCCTACACTTTAGATGGGCTGGATTCGTTTATGTCCTTCCTCTTTCATGTCCTCATTTCATGAAGTGATTTAAGGCTTCGATTTGGTTGGTCAATCTTCTAATATAGTCCTTGAGGAGAGGCATGATATGCTCGAGCTGCACTTGATATATCTCCCTTGTTAGACAGCCTCGATGTCCTTTGATTGAGACTGAGATGGCGGGACTGATTTGGTTTCCTTTTTGATGGCTTGACTTCCTTTAATTTAGCATCATCAATTCTGGACTTCCTTTGTTTTAGCATCATCAAATCTTCGATCTTCTCTTCTATTTGTTGATGCCCTTGATGGTGCCTTGATTCCTGCAATCAAAGTAGATAGGATTTAGCGCTGCACAATTGTCATCATTGAAACTTAGATGTAACACAAATAAACAGTAGAAGATAAACTAGAGAATGATGAAGTAACAAGTGATTGCACCTTCTAAGCTTCTGCTATAGACAGTAGCGAAGCCAAGAATTTCCCCTAGGCAAACTTGAAAGAAGTAAAAAAAAATTCCCGACAAAGGGTGTTCAATATATGTTATATACCTCTAAAACCTAATATTTTACCTATATACACAGTGTAATTGACTACCCTTACCAGAGTGTAGCTCCGCCCCTGGCTATAGAACTATGTGCAGCACCATATGATCAGCTTTCTTGAACTAAATATTAATTAATCCCACCCTGCAAGGGAAAGAAACTCCATCATCCTTGAAGCAGATCAACGACGTTATAAGCATCATAGAACCATATGAAGAGTTTAGGGGATATATTAACGTTCCGTTATGCTAAAGAATCACAACTGCAAGTGTTAAATGTGAAGAGAAATTAAAGTAAGCAACAAACTCTATGTAGTCATTCTTCTGTTCTGTTTAGATGTGTAAAGCCTGAACTATTACACATTGTTATCACCCTTGTTTCACAGTAGATATCATTATCAGACAACCAAAAGGGAATATATAGGATGTAAAGTATCAACACAAAGAAAAATATATACTAACTGATTTGGAAGTATTCTTTTGAGATAGTTTGAATCTCACAAGGTTTCTCGTTGATGCGAACACTAAGGCTATCATTCGCCATGCTCTCTTGCTCTTGTTGAATTTCTTTGACGGATTTTGCAACAGAACTTCTGCAGTTATGCAACTCTATTGACTCCAACGTACAAATTTCGCCAATATCTTTAGGAATTTCCTCCAGGTATAAGCATCGTTTCAGAACTAGGCGTTTCAGCATTGGGAAGTTAACACTGCCAGCGTCCCAATGCTTCAGATTTGTCCTGTCGATTAGGAGGAACTTAAGTTGATTGAAATTCTCTTCATCGTTTAATCTCCATACGTCGCCATCAAATCCATTGTCTTTAATTTTAAGCTCTTCGAGATTTGGCAGTGTTACAATATTAGCCATGTCTTCCCATGGTAAATAAGTGCATCTTAAAGTCAACCTCTTCAGAGATGTAGGCAAAGCATACTTACTTGGGAGAGGGTGCGGGTATAATTTTCTGGAGCAGATTATCTTCAATATTTCAAGCTTATTTAAACAGGAAAGGTTATTTAGCGTCTGGAAAATCATATCTCTCCTGCATTCTGCCCAAGCGCCATGAATTTTCAGCCTCTTTAGATTGGGAAAACCAGTAAACAATTCCTTAGTACAACAGGAAATACTTATATCTGAAAGTCCCTCGAGATTTTGTAGCTTGAAACCGGACCCTTCTTTACTCGATGGAACACGAAAAGAAGAGATCTTTCTTACCTGAAGATGCCTCAAAAGTTTCATTTTCCAGATATCCACTGGTAAATTAGAGTGTCCGCCAAAAACCAAGTTTTGCAGATTATACAGCTCGGACACTGACCTGTGAAGATCATCATAACAGTTGAATTCAAGGTATCTGAGATGTACTAATTTTGTTAACTCGAGAGGGAATTCTCGGAAAGTATACTGAAGGATTGCCAACACTCTTAGAAGTTTGAAGCGCGCTAAAAAAGGTACTTGTTTAGAAACGGGCGATACAAGTTTGAGTCCATTGAATAAGTATAAAGTTCGGGTGAAACTAGATAATGAATTCCAGCAATCACTCGGAGAAATGGTTGAATGGAAACTATAACGACGAATATAAGGCTTACAAGCTGAATCATTGAATCTTCTTATGACTTTATGAATTCTGGTAACCTGCATAAACTTCTCTTTTTCAGCTTGTCTTAAAATCAAGTCGCGCACCAGATCATGAACGCCACATGTTTTCATCTCGCCATTGAATCTCCGTTTTATAACCATTATTAAGTTCCTACTAATAAGATCCTCCAACCATTCTTTTCCAATTTCTTCCAAGCTTTTGACCCTTTCATTCCTTAGAAAACCATCAGCAACCCATAATTGGATCAATCTATGAGTTTCAACCTCAAAACCTTCCGGAAAAGCTGCCATAGAAAGGAAGCATGATTTCAGGTGATCGGGCAAGTAACTATAACTCATCGCGACCACTCCAAGACATTTATCTGGTTCACTAGCAACAATTTTACTTATAGTTTTGGCAACATCATTCCAACATTTTCGTGTTGTAGAAAGTTTCGAGAGATGTCCTGCAACCACTAGAAGAGCTAAAGGTAGTCCGTGGCATTTTTGTGCTACTTGCTTTCCGATATCTTCTAATTCAGGAGGACATCCATGCTCTACACCAAACACCTTGTCCTTAAGTAACTTCCAACTATTATCCCAATTCAAAAGGTTCATCTTATGAGGATTGCTATCGGGATCTGCATGCTTAGCGACCTCTTCGTGCCTACTAGTCAAAATAATTCGACTCCCATTGTTATCATCAGGAAAAATTCTTGTCATAAGATCCCAAATGTCCTTACTCCAAATATCATACATGATAATAAGGTACCTCCGATACTTTAACTTTTTGTATATCATATCCATCAGCTGATCGTCAGTACTTTCATTAATCTCCTCGCTCACATCCATTGGATTAGTCTCACTAATGTGAGGGATACAAGAAAGAATGCTCAACCACAAATCTCTAGTTCGATATTCTTGAGATATCGTTACCCAGACATGGATGTCAAAGCGATTCCTGATTTCAGGATGATGGTATACTTCTTTAGCAAGAGTTGTCTTGCCAATCCCCGCCATGCCTAAAATTGAGACAACTTCTCGACCACATGGTGGCCCTATTAGTCGTCTCATGATTTTCATCAAGTCGTCTTCAAGACCCACGACAACATCTTCTTGACTCAGATTTGCATTATGTTTAGATGATGAATCAAGACCTAGCAACGAATCCACTTTTGTACTACTAATAATAGTAATATTTTGCATCAAGATCTTCCTCTTCACAGCATCAATCTTTTCTAAAAGTGGAGGCAGATCGTCGCATATAGGCTGGCGTGACATTCCAAGTCTTGAACAACAACGTTCCAATTGATTAAATTCATATATATTTAGTTCAATCACATTCTCTGCTTCATTCACTGCAATTCTTATCTCTCTCTCTAACTGCTCAAAATGTTTACATGAGTCTTGCCTTCTAATATTGCAACTGCTCTCAACAAAGTTTTGGAAATATCCAACACTATCTAGGAGTGATTCCACCATTTTTCTTGTATCACCAATTACCCAACGTGGCTTTTGTTGCATTACTTGTTTCAACGTCTGAATTAGAGAAATCACAGCTGCATAAGCCATCTTGCACCAATGTATACTATAATATGTTCCTTGATATTAAGGTGTCAGTAGTTGATTCCACCTCGAACACGTGACCTATAGATCACAAGCTAAGAGCGGGGCAGCTCAATTAAGGCATAGAGAAAGCTCCAAGCAGCTACCATTGATCAACCTTATTCAGGCACATCAATCAAAGATCTTGCTTACCGAATAACTTTCCTGGTGAAGGATAGAAAGTTTGACAAGCTAAGAAAGTCTCGTTGAAAGCAGGAACTAAGACTCTGACGGCTATTTTAGCTAGTTTCAAAGGCTTGATTGACCCTTGGGATTGAATCTAGCTAGGGGGTGCCCTCGTAGAGACTAAAACCTCATTATGCCGAAGATAGTAGAGGTGCGACAGCGCTTTGGTAGCGAGTGGAAACTTACTTTTTGTGTGGTTAGTAGGAATTTCTTGCTTGCTAAGGGATGAAGACAACTTTACCGATGCTCCAAGGCTCCTCTTCCAAATGCTTTAATCACTCAAGGATTATATTAGAGAAAGAAGTCTATGTTTTCAATGCAAAGAAAAGTAGTTTTCAACATAACATTCTAATAAACATGGAGAGAAGAATATAACATTAAGCTTTGAAAAAATGTATACTATTTCGTCAATTTGTATGCATCTGATTTGCTTCCTAGAAGTCACAGGAGAGAAAGTTAACAGTCCAAATTAAACGACTTAGTCTTTGTTTTATTAAACAAGTTTAATTGGTTGTCTGGTCCCTTTCTTTTGGTCACCTAATACACAGAGTCCAATGCCGTTGTTTTTTTTTTTATTCATAGCATCCAGTATTCAAAAATCCCGATTCCGAATTTTTATTAGTAAGGTTCATTAAAAGGAAAAACACTATTTATTTGGGATATGTTTGGTACGAAGGAATCCAATTTTTTATGATTGGTTGGCTTAAATATTTTGGAAAATATTTTCTTTTAATTGGAGAAAATTATTTTCCCTATTAAAAAAAGGAAAAATATTTTCCTGAATTTTTTTTAAACCTTCCCCACCCTATTCCTCATCCCCACAACCCAACCACCACCGCATCCATTACCCCCACCCAATCCCCACGCTCCACCTCCTGCCCCCATCTCTCAAATCCTCCACCGTAAGTAGAAGTACTATTAATGGTACTTTTTTTGTTAATGTTATAGATAGAGTACTTTTTTTTCATTTCAATAAATGAGTATCTTTCTTTTTATGATATAACAAAGTATTTTTCTTTTCATGATATAAAATAGTTTTTTTTTCATTTTAACAAAAAAAATACTTTCTTTTCATGATGTAAAAAAAGTATTTTCTTTCATTTCAACAGAAAAAGTATTTTCTTTTCATGAGAGTATATTCTTTTAATGATGTAGAAAAAATATTTTCTTTCATTTCAACAAAATAAGTACTTTATTTTTATATTGTAGAAAGAGTACTTTCTTTTTGAACCAAAAAAAAAGTATTTTTTTTAATTATGGAGCACAAATTTAAACGTTATATTTGCGTAAAAAAGTAATGCAGCACATTAGCTCCTTTTGTGTTTGTGTGAATTTTTAGAAAAATAATTAAATTCTTGAAGAAAAATAGAGTTCTAAAAACGTTGCATATCTGGAAGGGTTTGTGAGCACGTGATTTTTGCCTCGCTTGAATTATTCCTATAGAATCCCTAAAATTAGGATTTTTCTTTTATTATTTGATTTTTAGGATTTAATTGCGTAATTTTCGTGTGTATTCTCATTTGTGTGTGCATGTTTAGTTTTAGATAATTCGTAAAAAAACAAAAAAAAATATTGTGTTTGCATTTAGGATTAATTTTACATTTTTAGATTAATTAGTAATTGGGCTTTTACAAAAAATACTAAAATCACAAAAATTTGATTTGTTTGTTTGGTTTAAATTCTAGTTTTGAGGTTTATTAGTTTCCTTTAAATTGGTATTAGTTTTAATTATAGCTTAATTAGGTAGGTTCAATTAATGTTTTAATTTTAGTTTTGTTTTAAAAGTTGAAAAAAAAAAGTAAATAAAAGAAAAAGAGTTAAATGAAAAGGAAATAAAGAAAAAAAAAAGAAGATAGAAAGAACAGGCCTGCTAAGGATTTAAGCTTTGGGCCAATATCAAATGGCAATTCATTGGCTCAATCAATTGACCCCTGAAACCTTTCCAAACGCCCAAAACCAGCGCAAATGCCCGGTCCAAACCCCATGTCTCTGAGACTCCTGAAACGACGTAGTATGGGGAGAATACTACGTCGTTTTGAGTTATTTTGTGACAAGTTAATCTGGGCCCTCCGTTTTACCTCATCTAAGGGCTCCAGTCACTTCTTCCATTTTAATTAAATATGTCCAAACACCACAACATTAACCTAGGACCTCCATCTTATGTCGTCTCTTCCACTCTTATCTCTCACNACCGAAAATCGCCATGCGCGCGACTGGCCTCCAAATCCCATGAAAACTTGACAAAATAACCACTTTTATATCCCCATTCCAAATACACTGTTATTTCCTTTCCAAAACCACTCCTCCTCTTCAAATCAAAGATCGAAGGCAGCACTGAAATACTCTTCTTCTTCTCTCTTTCAAGCTCCGATCTGGTTTCTTCTTGATGTTGTGCGCATAGACCAACTTCGATGGAAAGCCAGGGGGTTAGAGGTTCGTTTGCGTGTAATGGCCAGGTACGGTCATAAATCTCTGATGGGCCTTCATCTCCGTTTCTCCCTCATTCTTGGCTCGTAATGGGAACTGTGACAAAGAGCACGAGCCATTGGAGAAATCCAGGCTAGTGCTCAATGTTACAGTTCACATCATGGAGTCAAGGCCTTTCGCACTAGTTCTATTGCTTGTAAGTCGTCGATCAAGTAAGTATTCATTTTCTTCTGTGTTATTTCTTTTCCTTTCAAGGTTCGTTTCGATTAGTTCATTAGATATAATTTGGGTCAGATGATGAAATAGATCTTGTACAGTTGTTTTTACTCAGTTTGCTTGGTTCATAGTTGTGGCTAGATTAATTAAATCGATTTCTGTTTGTTCCAATTATTTGAGTTCTTTGGATTCAATGTCCTTGGACTTCTTCGCTTATGTTTTCTTTGGCCCATACAGCCATGTTCAGAGCCTTAGGGCTCGATGAATGATGGCCTGAAAGTTGGTGGAATTGGGCTACATTATTCAGGCCCATAAGTTAAACAGGGTCTGGTTCATAGGTTGACCCATTGGAGACCTTTCAAGGGCCATAACAGGGTCATGGGGGGTAATTCTCATATTTGTGAAGGGTAGTTTAGGAAAGAAAATAGAGAACCTTGCAGTAACTGAAAATAGAACCCCCTAGAACCTTCTAGATTGGGGTTCTAATTTGAAATTCAGGAAATTGGGTGGTATAACTGGTAACAAGTCAGTCCCTTATGGACTTTTAAGCAAAAAGTTAAAATTAAGGGGGGGGGGGGCTAAGGTGTAATGTAAAAATCTGAAGATGCCCTAATATTTGTCTATAAAAGACAGTCTACTCTACCTTGCAAGTTAAGTTTTAGAGATCTGAAAATTTGAAATCCAAGTCTAAAAAAAATCAGAAAATTTGAAATTTGAAAGTTTGAGAGGGAATACTGAAAATCAACAAAAGTTTCTGCGGAATTTGAGAGTTTAAGTATATAGAGTTTAGATCTTAGAGCTCAAAACAAAATCCTGAAAAAATCAACAAAAATAGCCTAGAAATCCACCAGATCTACTGTTTCATCAAGTTTCAGCAGTTTAAATTAACTTCCAAGTGCTGAAACTAGGTGGAATTCACCTGTTAAGAGTCAATTTGAATCATCAAAGTCTGGTCTTAAGTTCAGCTGGGTCCTTTGCTCAATTGAACCTTATTTTTGGTGTTTGCTGCATCTCAACTCCTGAATTTTGCATTGGACTTGCTGGGATTTTGCTGAGATTGCATCTGTTACATTGCTGCTGTACATCTGACCTTCAATCTTCTTATTTTGCTCTAATTTCCAGGTATTGCCTTGTCCTCTAAATGATGTTTGAAGTTTGCATCAGAACCTATTGAAGGAATGAAGAGATTGTTGCACATTTCCCCTGTTAATCCCCTTTTGTTGTCTGATTCATGTTGAATTTGTTTAGTTTAATCTAGTTTACTTTCAAACATGTTTGTTTAGGTGCTGAATTTAGGCTCCATGAGAATGTGAAAAATTATATAGTTTAGACACATGAGTATTTGTAATAACTGGACTGTTGGGACTCATGAATGTCCATTTAGTAATGTTAGCGTAATTTTAATATTTTAAGGGCTGCTATCAGGTTAGTTTGAATGTTAAATATTGGAATATGGTGTGGGCTTGAAGCTGGTTTTAGGACCAGTGTTTGTAATCCATGTTAACGTTAATTTTGGGCCTAATGAGTATTTGAGATGTCTCCACACTTCAGGATTAAATTTCAGTAGTTTATGTCTAGTTTCAGTCCAATAAATGCCTTAAGTTCTGCAAATGTGTTATGTAAGTTCAAATGTGGTTCTGGAAGTAAAAGTTTCAGAATGAGTGTGTGTGGTTCATCAGGATACATATAATTTGAATACGAGCATGAAATTTAGACTTAAAATCAGCATGTGTTCGATTTGAGCGGAACTGAATTGTTCATGTGTTTTCTGCAAAATTATTAGGTTTAATTGTGATTCAAAAGTCAGTGTTTCTGCAATCCAATTTAATTTTAGTGCTTGACTTGGTAAATTGAAAGAGAATAAACAAATTTAAATTGATTTTTATACTTGCTTATTAAAGTGCCAACAATAGGCTGCCCAGGTGATCGAAATGGGCCTGCTTAGAGGCCAAAATATTAATCAACTTTACAGCTGAGGAGTTTGTACGCAGGCAGCTTCAGGGATTCAAACACTAAATATTGGGCCTCTCTTTCAGGCCCAGTTGTATCACCTTAGCCTTGTATTTAGTTACTAGCTTTTAAATTTATAGCCCATATCTAGTCCTTATGACCTTAGCCAATTAGTAAGGCCCTCAAAA